TTCCCCCATAGGTTTTTAACATTCTAAAAGCTCTTTATTCCAAATATACTACAAGCTAGTCAGTGTATTCAGCAGGTGTAATGTATTCTAAGTTGCTTCAGAAGTATTGCAAGTACTAGTACGTACAACAATAAAACAGTATATTGACATAAAAAAGGAAATTTACTTTTGGTACTTATGTACTTTTAAAAGCAAGTACTTCTGTACTTTTACTTAAGTAAAAATCTGTCTTTACAACTTACTTGTAATGGAGTAATGTTTGACCAGCAGTATCTGTACTTTCACTCAAGTAATGGAGTTGAGTACTTTGTCCGCCTCTGCATATTGCATAGTATGCCTAAGTCTTTTTTCGGTGTTGCCATGGTGAATTGTAATTTCGGAGCTCCATTGATCATGGCTTTTCAAACTCGTGGTGCAAGCGCTAAACTCAGAATCAACATACAGAGTGGATTGAACTAACTCTGTTCAGCTGTTCTGAAACTGTAAACTCAGAGTTTCCTATTTTGGGGTTTGTTAACCCAGAGTTCATTGAACCTCCCTTCTGGAATACACCCCAGGTAACTTGTCTTTCTTCAGAGGAAAATGTGGACTATTACTGTATTTTCTTTTTTTTTTTACTGAAGTGTATTATTAAAAATGAACAAAATCGTTTTTATTTATTTTTCTTTTTGTTATTTTTTCATCATGATTTTTGTCATTTTTCTCTGGTTTCAGAAGTACAATATAAAATTTAGGAGCAAATATACACAGTAAGAGGCCAAAGGCAGAGGCTAGAATAGCAAACACATGGACAGCAACCATATACTTTCCATGAGAGCTCACATAAGCTGGAATGAAGGTTATCCACACAGCAACAACAATATATAAACATGCTGAATGTGATGAATTTAGCCTCATTAAAGTTGTCTGGTAATTTTCTGGCCAAAAATGCCATTAAGAAACATAGGCAAGCTAGGAGTCCAGTATATCCAAGCACACACCAAAATCCAACTTCAGATTCTACAGCACATTCAACAATTATAGTGGCACTCATAAACGTGGTGTTGTATGATGCAAAAGGAGGCTTAGTTGTTAACCATATGATACAAAAAAGTGCTTGCACAAAAGTGCACAAGATTAAACTTGATCTTTGTTTAACAGGGCCAAACCACTTCATGACATTACTGCCAGGGATGGTGGCCCTGAAAGCCATTAAAACTACTACAGTTTTTGCCAAGATGCATGAAATACAGAGTGTAAAGCTGATTCCAAAGGCTGAATACCGAATCTGGAATAACCAGTCAGTGGGCTTCCCTAAAAAGGTTAGGCCAATCAGAAAGCATGCACAGACAAACAGGAGGAGAAGGAAACTTAACTCAATATTGTTTCCTCATATGACTGGTGTCTTCCTGTATATTATAAACACAACAAGCACTGCTAATGCTGCACAGGCTCCAAATGCTGAAAAAGCCCATATAATTATTCCCAATGGCTCCTGAAAAGACAAAAACTCTAAAGTTTTGGGAATGCACTGGTCTAGGGCTTGGTTTGGCCATGTTTCCTTTGAACATGTCAGACAATCAATTAAATCTGTGGGGAAAAATTGTGAATTTGGGGAGCATACAATTTATTTATATTTTGTTTGTTATATTTACTTTTTCTTTTTCCTCAAAATACCATTAAGTGAGAAGCTGTGAAGAAATTCACACCTATTTGATTACTGATCTCTCCTTCAGCACATGGTAGCAGACAGGCTCTCCTTTTTACCTGGCCTTCCTGGAGCCTGGCAGACAGCTTTGACTGCACAATGATTCTGGTACCTAATGTCCACAGCAAAAGCAGTAAAAAAAAAAAAAAAAAACACTACATAATCTGAACTCAATGAGTGCGCAGATCACTATGTACTTTTATTGCATAACGAAAAATGTTACTTAAAAATCTAAAATGTTTAGTATAAAGTAAAATCAATAGTGCTTTGCCATTTAAAATAAAAAAAAACGTCTCAGGTTACGTATGTAACCATGGTTCCCTGAGAAGGGAACGAGACACTGCGACCAATGCATTCTGGATCAGGAAGAAATGGAAGGCTCACTTGAGCTAGAGGGCAATGATCAGAAAGATAACGCTCATCGAGGCGGCCTCGAGGCGCCACTTTCTTAACCTCATCCTCATCCGACATCTCCTGTTCTTCCTGGCTTGGAGCCAGCAGAGCACTAGCGCTGGATCAGATGATGTAAGAGAAATAGCATCGTCATCCAGCAGCTCACTCTCGTCCATAACTGACGAGCGCGAAAGGGAAAGACCCTCTCTCAACTCATCAGCCAGTCCACCTGCGATCCCCACGAACTCATTTTCCTCCGTGCCTCAACAGCGGCGGGTCCTGAACCGCAGTGAGCTGATGGCTGTCCCTCTTTCCTCGAAAAGTGAGACAAACGAGAGCGGAGCTTTTTAATTGAAAAACGCTCACAATGCACGCAGTTTGCCCCCTCGAGGACATCGTACACGTGCTCTTCACCCAAACAAAAGACACCCAAGTCAAATAACGAGGACACGGATCCACACACTTCCTAAACGCCTTACTAGTGCTCGCCATAGTTTAAAGAGAAGAGATACGTTCTCTTACCGGAATGCACGCTTCAAATAAAACAGTCGTGAAGACGAAGAAGAGGATGATGTGTTCTCCCGGCGCCTAATGACGTCATAGGCTGTCGCCGGCCAATGATATTGTCATTTTTAGATGTATGCTTCAGACACCGGTCACGCTGAAGGTGTTCCCCATAGCGACCCCTAGAGGACGCAGTGTCTCGTTCCCTTCTCAGGGAACCATGGTTACATACGTAACCTGAGACGTTCCCTTTCGAGGGAACATCGAACTGCGTCCTCTAGGGGTCGCTATAGGGAACGGTATACCCATGCCACCATGCTGAGGGGAGTGCACGCCAGAAAACCACGGCGAGCACTAAGTACCAACTCTACCATAGCCATGGGAGTTGCCCCTAGGACGCCTTGACAACTGTCAGTAACATTATTCCCTCCGGCCAAGGGTCTGAGCTGCATACCCTAAACAACTTACCTGATAGTGGCTGGGGTGGGCGCCAGGATAACACGTCATCTGCTTCTTCGTCTGAAGCTTGCGTCCGAAGCATGGCAAAAAAACTAGAGGTCGCAGTGTCTCGTTCCCTTCTCAGGGAACCATGGTTACATACGTAACCTGAGACGTTCCCTTTCGAGGGAACATCGAACTGCGTCCTCTAGGGGTCGCTATAGGGAACGGTATACCCATGCCACCATGCTGAGGGGAGTGCACGCCAGAAAACCACGGCGAGCACTAAGTACCAACTCTACCATAGCCATGGGAGCTGCCCCTAGGACGCCTTGACGGCTGTCAGTGACATTATTCCCTCCGGCCAAGGGCCTGAGCTGCATACCCTAAACAATTTACCTGATAGTGGCTGGGCTGGGCTGGGAAGCTCAAGCCTAGGGCAGAGCTCAAGACTTGGAATCAGAAGAAAGAGATTCATTTAAGGGGATATGGCCAGATGTCTAAAAATCTTTTTATGTCTAAAAAGACCCTGGCCTGTCACCCAGAGGGGGCTACCACCGGTTCTGAATAAACCTGCTCAAAGAACTGACTCGACAGATCTTTGGTAGCAACACCCTGCTCAGAAATGTATCAACAGAGATACATTAGTTCAGTGGAGCCCAAGACGAGAACCGGGGCCTAAGCCAACTCAGAGAAAGGGAACAAGGCTAACAGCGCATAACCCTTACCATACAGGATTTTAGAAAGTGCGCAGAATGCTTAGCGTGCACACTTACCACAATGTGGATTTCAGAAAATGCACAGAGGCTTAGCGTGTGCACTTACCATAGCATGGATTTAGAAACACCATTGCTTAAGGGGTAACCGAGGCTGTATTAAGCCAGCCTAGAGGCAACTATGTGACTGTGGCACGCTCACAGAACAGATTCCGAAGCATCTGCTCACAGATGCCCAGAAGGGAGC